TTAGAACAGTCAAAGGTAGATAGGCGGTCACATGCTCTACATAGAACAAGTTTGCAAGTTGCAGTGGCAGGGTTTGACTAGATTATCTTTCCCACCTTTAATTTTTATTATCCAATGTTGTTATCCTGCAGAATCAGAGGAAAGTGAAATGTACTGTGTCCTGTATGTAGGAAGACGTCATCATTAGTCACTGCCCAGCCAGCAGTCAGTCAGCACTTTCATTTTCAGTCAGGGAGTCCCCTGGGACCAATGAACTGAAGTGATATTTGAAAAGGTAAGAGAGAAAAGCAGAAGCACAGTCCGTGGCAGTTCCGCATTTGGAACCATTTGCATATTCTCGAATGACCTTCTGAATCTACCAGTGATGTTCCTTGGAGGGAATCAAGTTGTTACAACTAGATTTGAGCTCTGATCCATTTAAAAACAGCAACTGGCCTCTTTCGCACAATGCTGAATTTTAGAGCCTTCAGCCTTCCTGAGGGCATTTACCAATGTCGCTCACCTGGCTAAAGGCACAGCACATGTAAAAATACATCTACTGAACGCACAGCTCAGACAAAGACCTCACGTCATTAAATGCAAAACACCTCTACATAAATTCAGTACAACAATAACACAACAAATGTTTGTTATTATGTGATTATCATACACATTGTAAGGAGAGTGGTCACTTTAGATAAGCTATTACCAGCAGGAGAGTGGGTTTGTGTGTGTGTGTGTGGGGGGGTAAAACCTGGATTTGTGCTGGAAATGGCCCAACTTGATTATCATACACATTGTAAGGAGAGTGATCACTTTAGATAAACTATTACCAGCAGGAGAGTGGGGTGGGAGGAGGTATTTTTTCATGCTTTGTGTGTATATAAAAAGATCTTCTACACTTTCCACAGTATGCATCCGATGAAGTGAGCTGTAGCTCATGAAAGCTTATGCTCAAATAAAGTGGTTAGTCTCTAAGGTGCCACAAGTACTCCTTTTCTTTTTGCGAATACAGACTAACATGGCTGTTACTCTGAAACAACAAATGTAAATGCTGAGGAGTCAGCAAAAGTTAATGGCCTCAGAGTAATATGAACTCACACATGTGCACACTGGATTTGTTTGGATTTATATAGAAGAGTCTAACTGGGTAAATGTAGGTGAGCTAAGGTCTTCAGAGTAACTCTGACAGCGCCTGATGTGAACATTTGAATATGCAACTTAATACAAAGTTTAAATGTAGTACATTTCTTTGGGGGTTTTTACTTTTATGTAAAGAAAATAGAACAAAGAGAGGGGAAAGGAAAGAAAGCATCCATAAACTATGATCCCGACTAGACTTTCTAGCTCCCTCTTTATATTTCTGGGCAGCTTGGGGTGGAAGGTTGGAAGGAGTCAATTCTAACTTTTGCTGCCGATATTTTTGGCTGAATAAATTGTTTATGCATCTTTGGGTTCTGAGGAGGCAGCAGCTCATCCAAAAAGGCAAAAGAGACAGGGGCAGCAGTAGCAAAAAGGCAGAAACTGAATTTGCATGGCTTGACCGCTTGGGCTGTGGCTGCGTCAGTGAAACATTTGCAATTTCCTCATTGCAGTCTGGCCCCGGTACAGCCCCTAGTCCTAATGGGAATTGCACAGAAACTGGCCACAAATGGACAGAGAGTCATTAGTAGCTGATGAAAACTTTGCCGATGCCCACTGAGCATGCTACCCTTTTTGATTTTTAATCTCTCCCACCACGCCCAACAGAAACCATCTCCTCCCTGAGCTGGCTATTGTCACATGCGTTAGAGAGGGGATTCCCAGCTCTTTTGAGTTGTTGGTGAGGAAACATTTTCTTTCATTGCTGAAGGAAGTGTATTTCCCCACCTTCCAATAACTCAAAAATGTTGCAGGGATTTTCCTCAAAACTTTCCAAAAAAATTCACCGCTGGCCAGAGCCCAGGAACCAGATCCTGACCCTTGGCACCACTCCGGGCAGGCAAAGAGGCTGCATAACCGTATTAAAGGGGTAGTAGGAGCTTCTCCCAGCAAGTGAGAATGGATGGCTAAGGATGGCTCCATTGGCTCTACGTCACCTCCTTCTGGTCTTCACCAACACCTGGGGTAGGCCAGGAGCACACTGAGATCCAGCAACCGTTGGCCAGTATAAGAGTTTCTAAGGGTACGTCCACACTGCAGCACAGAGCGAGCCTCCCAGCCTGAACTGACAGACTCAGGCTACCTTGGCTCGAGTTAGTGTGCTAAAAATAGCAGTGTGGATGTTGCTACACCAGTGGAGGCTTGGGTGGCTAGCGCCCAGCTGCAGTGTAGACCCACCCTAAGGGGCTGTTACGAGCCAGCATAACTTAGAATAGCTCTAAGGCTACTCTAAGTTACGCTAGGACTTGAAGTGATCTCAGGAAGCCCTGGGGAATTGGGGAAGCACAAAGATGGCTTGAAGCCACCTTTGCAACCCTTCCCTGCCCTATCCCAGGTTCTGTGCTGAGTGCAGCGAGTTGGAACCTGAGAACGGGGACCCACGCATGAAAAACACCAGCCACAAAGGAGAAATGTTCAGAAAGTTATGAGCATTTGGAAAGATAGAGTTAGAACGAAAGCCCTGAGGTTACACTATCTATAGCAATCACTAACAGTGACTGTGTGTGTGTGTGTATCTATATATACACACTGTATCCACTATAGCTCTTGTGTGTGTGTGTATATATATGATACACACACACACACAAGCTAAGGGCTATAGTTGATACAGTAAATATTGTGCCACAGGTTGAAGAAAATAGCTTCAGGAATTATTGCCCACTGAAGGTCATTTTATTTGCCTAAGGGGCAATAAACATATGTATTCAGGGGGTGATGCTGGTTTAGATTTTATTATACAATGTTCTGTTTCCTAAACATGGTGCAGCTTTAGTTAACCTCTAAAAGGGTCCTGAATTTTATATCACAGGCTTAGAACAATTTTGTTCCATGTCATAGTAAAATAATGACTACCGTAGGTTCTTCTAGAGTGCCCATCACCATGGTATCTACCTGCTGTCATTTAGCCCTTAATCCATACATCACAAAGTAGGGTATGTATCAAAGCTTCTATTTTGCAAAAGCATTTAAGGCTCAAAAATAGTCACTGATTTTGGGTACCCAACTTGAGGCACTTCAAGGTGCCTTGATACTATCTGAGTCCCCCGGCTCAGAGAGGAGAAAAAATTGTAACCAGTACATTTTAGAAATCTCCAAAGCTTTTCTCTGCTTGTTAATGCCATAGTGTTCAAATCAAGCATCTTGCAGTCTACCAGGATTAGAAACAGAAGGACTGTTCCTTTGGAAAGGACAGTTCCTGGCTTTCTAATGGGATAAAGCTCCTGTTTCTATTGATTAGACCTTAAAACTGTCAGTGGTGAAGGCCTGCGTATTGTCTATCCTGGGCTTAGTATAATTTTGGGGAAAAATGTCACATTACTCATCAGTAATGTGGCCTTCTCGTACACACACACACTTATACACATACACACGATGGTTTAGTGCGGCATAGCATTACAGCATGAGTGTGGATGGATGCATTACTCACAAATACATGTATTATGTTTATGACACATATTTATATGTGTGGTTAGGAGATTGGGAGAGAGAAAAGAGCCCTTGAAAACGTGGTGGTTTGCTTTACAGGGGACTGCATGTTTAATTCCATGTGAAATTCCCCAAGTTTTGCTTTGAGTTTCAGGTTTGAACAAACTCAATCTTAAAGTGAAACTCTGTGGAAATGACAAAGTTTTCCCCCATTTCATAATACTACCATGAAAAACTCAGAATTTTGAACAACTTTTATGCAAAGCCACAGTTCAGCACAGTTTGCTCTAAAGTGTCATGAACTACACGGAAACTGTCATTAAGCCTAATGCTTCAAATCTGTAAGGGATCCAAGCTCAGGAGAACTGTATGTGCTTTGCGGTTCCGGTGTTAACATTTCACACAGCTGTGAGGACTGATCTCAAAAGCCTATTGAATTCAATGGGCCTAGCAGCAGACTCTTGGAGAGGGCGAGGGGACAGGATATATGACTCAGTCCCAAGACCAGTAATCTAAGCCTGCATTAGGGGAATTGTTGATTGTGTGATTTTGCAATGACCAGTTTATTGTACATTTCCCAGAGGAGAAATGATCTCTTTCCATTTCTGCATCTCCTGGGAGCTTAGAAGCTCTTCTGTCCCAGAAGCTCTGAATCAGCCCCTATCCTTCCAGTCAAGGGAAGACTGGACAGGGCAGGGCTTCAGTGACTGGAAAGGGTACCGCTGAGCAATGAGAGAACACCCACCCATTAACACCCTGCCTATCCTTGGCAGCACAGCTGGCTCTTAGCTTTGTGTGGCCCTATGAAAAGTAGCACTTGCATGGACCCCCCCAGCCTCAGACCAGGCACTTTCCCACATCCCTTCCTGCCTGCCTCTGGTGCTCACCCTGCCCGTGGGGAACCCTCACCCCTCACACTATTGAGACTCAGCAGTCTTTAGTGACCCACTTGGCCTAGGAAGCCAAGATGGAGGAGAACTGCCACTTTCCAAACAGAGAGCGGACAAGGGTGTCTTGGGAATTCTCTCTCTGCTGTGGCCTGCAGGCACTGCTCCGATGGGGCCGCGGCTATGGAATTGAGGATGCCCTTCTAGACAGCACCTCATGGGTGTGGGGAGTGCAGGGCCCAACATAGGCACATAGGTCACACAAGCTTATGGTTGGGTCTGTTCAGAGGAGTGGGACCAGGATCAGAAATCCAGTTCTTGCGTAGAGTATTAACCCCCACAGGCCATCAGGGCTCTCCCCAGCACCCTGATATTTCTACTAAATTTTAGAAAGAGTGAAAGGCACTACCTTGGAAGCTGCAGTCTTCTCTCTGTCCCCACAACATGCAGCAGCAGCAGCTCCAGCCCCCCAAGTTTCTGCCCCAATGCTCCTCACCGGCCTAGTGTGGGGAACGAGGGAGACAAAGCTCCTGAGATACAAAAATGGAACTGAACTTGTCCACTTACCTAGACTAGTGAAGTGAAGCACAAAGAGGCCCTGCCAGAACCAATTCTTTAGCGCCAGTCCAGACCACATCAGTTCAGCCCCAGCCGCACACACCATTTTCTCAGAACTCCTCGGATAAAAAAAGACAGAGAAAAGAAAAGGAGTGAAACAAGAAGGAATTGATGAGTTAGTAACTGAACCCTTGCATTGACCAGAAATCTTAACTCTTTGGACGAGTGATACACCATGTAGCACGTCTATAGTGTTGATCATCCAGCAGGATCCCATAGCACTTTACAAACATTGGTTAATTAAGCCTGAGTGTCAGCGTGCTGTTCACCCTCCATGAGTTTCATTGTGGACTGGGTGATCTGCTTTGCTTGGGAAAGTCTAATGGCCTTTTCAAGGGTTAGTTCTGGGTGCTATGGGGGTTATTCTGAAGGTGCGGTTAGGTGACTTTCCCAAGGTCCTTGCCACTCACCAGTGGCAGATTTGGCAATACAGCCCAGGAGCCCCAATTCCTAAATCCTCTGCTCTATACACAAAACACACTGAGCCCCATTCTCAGTGCACCAAGGCTCTGGTTGGTGTAAAATCAGGAGGCTGGCTTTACACGACCTTTGTGCCTCCCCCTATTATTCTGGAGTTGGCCAGGAGCCTAGAATAGCCTCAGGACTTCCTCAAACTGCACCCAGCTGCCTTGGCCTTTCAGCATTTGGGAAGTGAATTCAGTGCTGGAGAGCTGCTGGATTTACAGCTCAGGAGAAAGCTGTTTATTAAAGAGGCATGGCCCCAGCAAGAGGGAGTCAGTGTCCTCAAAGCCTGCGTCCTCCCATTCTGCCTCAACTCATAAGAGCCTCCTTTTTAAAATCATCCGCTCAAGGTATTCAGAGGTTTGCTTTCCAGCCCGGCAGATTTCTGACCAATTTAAAGATGACACATTCTTGCTTGTCAGCACCCCACAGAGCCCAACATTACCAGAAACATGCCATTCAGCCAGACAGTAGTGAACTGCTAGCAGAGGAAAGCAAAGGGCCAAACCACTCCAATAGAGGCCCCCAGAGTCACCCGCAGCAAGACAAAAACCGAGAGCACTCACTTGTATTCCAGGGGCTCCTTCTCCCTCTTGCCGTGGGGTATGGGTAGTCCTTAGCTGGCCACGTCCTCTGTGTAAGAGAGCTCAAAGCACCTCATTCTCAGTCACCCGTGCACAACAAAAGAGCAGAGTGTGTGGAGCTTAACTTTATATGAGCAAAAAGGGTTGCCACCCCCACAACTTCCCCTTTTGCACTGATTAAGAATCAAAACCTTTCTGACCCTGTGTGCTCCATCCCGCCCCATTCTGACGTCCCCACGCTGCTTGGAAACGGTTGTTACAGAGGCCCAGGGACCAACTCGACAGGCTGCGTTGAGGATTCCAACAGAGCGGCAGCCCGATACAGCCACATGGGGCCGTTTCTCTGCAGCCACAAAGGAGAGGAAACATCATTTCATAATAGTCTACAATTGGACCAAAACATTGTTAATGCTCACGCTGCCTTGTAATCAGTGGCCCTGCTTAATCTCATCCCACCACCTCCAATACCAACCCCTCTTCCCTCTCCCACCACTGGCACCACCCAGACCTCCCACCCTACTGTTCCCTTCCTTTTTATCTGCCCCTCCGCTTTGCAGCAGACATTTTGCTTCCTCCTGCTTTTGGAACATTCTCTCACTGCCTCTCCCAACGCCATGCCATGAATGCTTGGTACACTGGTCTCCCGTCAATGCGCTGTCTGTGCCTCCTGTGCCTGAAACACTGCCCCTTCATTTTGCCTATTTTAGAGACCCATCCTGCGAAGTGCTGAGCACCTTCTGAGAGGGCCTGAGCACACAACTCTAGGGCTGGGCAGATTTCTGTATGAACCTTTTTTCAGCAAAAAAGCCCAAATTCAGTGACATCGAACTGTTTAGCAAATGCCTGTTGATTTTGCCAAATTGTTTCAGCCGGGGGTGGGGCGGGGGCAAAGTCAGAAAAAAGTTTTGTTTTGACTTTTTTTTTTTTAATAAAATGTTTTAATTTTTTTGGTTGAAAATGAGTTTTCATTTCAAAATTTCCTTTCCATTTATTAAAAAAATGTAATGGTCAAAATTGAAACAAAACATTCTGATCTGGTCAGAATGAAACACTCAACCCCAAATGATTATTTTTTTACTTTTCAATGTGCCAACATTTTTGAAAAATATTGTTTTTGTTTTGACTGGACTCTGATTTTGTTTTTTCATTTTCCAGAATTGTCAGCAAACCACAACATTATTTTTTCACCTAGCTCTAGACAACAGCCGTTGGCTCCAGTGACAGCTCAGGGCACCACGCAGAGATGCTCAGCGCCTCACAGGATCAGATCTTCTGCAAGGCACGGATCTTCCCTTCTTATTTGTTTTGTTAAGTGGCCTGTATCTTTACATCCCAGTGGAAATAATGCCCTATCCATTAACCCGCAATAACAATAGTTATAACACAAATGAATTAAGTATGAACATCAGGCCTGATTCACCACTGTGTTGCTCCAGTTTTAACTCTGTGTAACACTTTGATGTCAGTGGGCTTACAGCACCATAGAACTGGAGTAAGATGCGGTGAACTGGACCCACTGTACTGTGAACAAATCAAAGTTCTATTTTGATAGCTCAAAGCTGGCCACATGCTAGCTCTATAAGGAAGTCAGACATTGACTGGGCACAACATACAACTATTCTGTTAAGGATTCAAGTAGCTGAAATGGTATGGAGGAGCTTGGCATCAGAGCAACCAACCACAAACTAAGAATTAATTAGGACTATTTATCTGGCTGTTGGTGGATTTCTAGCACATGTGTTTCATCGATTAATTTCCTTTTCTTTTTTCCCCCTGTAAATTTACATTCTATCTATGGATCATCAGCATGGTACATAAATATAGAGACTACTAGTTACAGTAGAATTAAAGAACAGAAATTCATTCATGGCACTTCAGAGGAAAAAAATAAAAATATAGAATCTCCAAAAGCTTGGCTATTCTGAGTCCAGTCTATTGCCCTAACCACAAAACCACCCTCTTTCCCTTTTTGTATCCATATGATCATACATGTCTATTATAGCCCTCCAGTATAACCACACACCATTTCATGTTTTATTGCCCTCAAGGCTTGAAGGCATCTCAGGTACAGTTTTCAGAAGTGCCTAAGCCACTTAGGAGACAGTATCATTTTGAAAAGTGACTTAGTATTATGGTCACAGCATACTGTGACAGGGTCGGGCCAGATGGCTACAGGAGAGTGATCCTACTGGGATCTGGGCTTTGCCCGCCCACTGCTAAAAGATCCACCCACAGCCTAAGAGGGGATCCATAGGACCTGGACACCAAATAAATACGGGGGACAACTAATGAAATAACATGGACAGGAGTCTGGTCAAAGGGTCAAACGAAGGGAACCAGACGGGGACACCGAGCAGAGAACGCCCTACAGGAGAGTGTTAGAAGGCAGATATATTAGCCCCAGGCTAAGTAGGTCCCTTTCCCATGGGTAAGGTAACAGGGAAAGTTCCAGAACAATCAGGAACTTTCTGCAGACAATTAAGGCAGACAGGCTGATTAGAACACCTGCAGCCAATCAAGAAGCTGCTAGAATCAATTAAGGCAGGCTAATCAGGGCACCTGGGTTTAAAAAGGAGCTCACTTCAGTTTGTGGTGCGCGTGTGAGGAGCTGGGAGCAAGAGGCACTAGGAGCTGAGAGTGAGAACGCGGACTGTTGGAGGACTGAGGAGTACAAACGTTATCAGACACCAAGAGGAAGGTCCTATGGTGAGGATAAAGAAGGTGTTGGGAGGAGGCCATGGGGAAGTAGCCCAGGGAGTTGTAGCTGTCGCACAGCTGTTCCAGGAGGCACTCTAGATTCCACAGGGCCCTGGGCTGGAACCCGGAGTAGAGGGCGGGCTCAGGTTCCCCCCAAACCTCCCAACTCCTGATCAGACGCAGGAGGAGTTGAACTGGACTGTGGGTTCATGAAAACGGCCAAACTGAGGGCTGCTGTGAATCTCTGAGGCGAGCAAATCTGCCAATAAGCGCAAGACCCACCAAGGTAGAGGAAGAACTTTGTTACAATACACAGAGAGGAGCCAGATGTAGGGTTGCCAACCTTCCAGTATTGTCTTGGTGTCTCCAGGAATTAAAGATTAATCTTTAATTAAAAATTATGTCATGTGATTAAAACCTCCAGGAATATGTCCAACCAAAATTGGCAACCTTAGTCAGATAGGAACATAAAATACTCTTTCTGGAAGGTTGCAGCATAACACTACTTTACTACTTGGAATTCAGATCGATAACACACAAGAACCCAAAACCAGAGAGAGACAAAGCAGGCTGCTCCCTGAAACAGAGTCACACATATTATCTCACCTTACTCTGCAGACTGACTGCTGCTAGAGTGCTAGGCCAGATCACATCCTTTCCTAGGGAGTTCCTTAGCCTGCAAACAGGGCCAGGAAAAAACGCTGACCATTTAAAGTGATAGTTTACAATTTTAGTACAGTTTTCAATACACCACACATAGAATCCTAAGTCTCATTGATTTTCAAGGAGACCTAAGCTCTAAATCACTTAGGCACTTGAAAATTTGATTCTGAGACTAAGCACATCCCCTGTTTGGTAATATGATACTGGCAAACCTTTTTGAGCTGTAAAGAATATTTTCTCACTTTCATTTTATATTTAAATGATTAAAAACAGTTTTGCTTTTACTATATTAAAACTAAGAAGAAATTCCAGTCAATGAATGCAGATGCTGTGGTAGTTATTTAGGACTCAAGGGTGCCCTGAGAAATGCAGGGCCACTCTCCACCAGTCCCCAGAGAGGCTGACTGAACTTGTGAAGCCATGTCCCTCTTGTCACAGTTTGCAGGTATACTGGAGGGCAGGATTGTTAGGTGCATAGGAGATGTAGTCACAATAAAAGTGTAGCCCTGACAGTTTCACCCCGTGAACAGGTGTGGTATTAGGGGCTGTGCCTTTAGGGCTGAGCTTCCCAAACAGAAAATCTGGGTGGGGCACTGTGAAGCCAGTTGGAACCAGACACTTGCAACTTCCTTGAGCACTGAGTGATCTCTGAACACTGCATAATCCCGGGAGTAAAAAGAACTGAGAAAAGATCCTGAGTGGAAGAACGAAGCAGTTAAAAGCCCCATCCATCAGAGATGAAACTTTAGAAACGTGGAAGACAGCTGGAAAAGGTTTAAACAGTGCTTCTCCCTGCATCTACAAGCAATGAATGCTAGAAAATATAGACACGGGTGGAAGGTAGCCCTATTTCTGCCAGTAGCAGGTTCTGAATCACTTGATGTGTTTAGAAGTTTTTAGTTAACTCAGGCAGAGTAGGCTAACTATGAAATTATTCGCAAAAAGAAAAGGAGGACTTGTGGCACCCTAGAGACTAACCAATTTATTTGAGCATAAGCTTTCGTGAGCTACAGCTCACTTCATCGGATAAATTGGTTAGTCTCTAAGGTGCCACAAGTCCTCCTTTTCTTTTTGCGAATACAGACTAACACGGCTGTTACTCTGAAATATGAAATTATTGCAGACATTTGAGGAGAAACTGCATTTGAGGAGAAACATTATTGCAGACATTTGAGGAGAAACATCTCTCCATCTCTCAGCTGTTTCAGAGTACAACAAGAAGGTGAAACAATAGCAGAGATTTTAGAGCTGAGTCCCTCATAAGAGACCAGCTTGCGACTGGAATCTGGAACAAAAATGTTAGAGACACACTATTGGGAGAGCCAGAATTAACCTGCACTAAGGCAATTAGAATCTGCCAAGCACAGGATGTCACCCAGTCCAGAATGAAGCTCACGGAGAGTGGACAGTGCGCTGACGCTGTAGACAAGATGGAGAATCCAAAATAACGTAAGAAGATGAGATGAGAGGCCGACAGGCATGTGGAACTCAAACTCGGGGTCCACCAAAAACAGCACGTGGCGCTGCACATGCTGTGGCAACCAACCCAAGTCAGGACAAGGCCCAACATAGGGGAAAAGATGCAAGAGTTTAATGGATAACATCCCTTTGGAAGAGTACGCAAGAGCAGCAGAGGGGGCAGAGTTTGGACAAAGAACCTGACAACAGCCCAGCTGGCTCAGATGAATTCTTCCTGGGAACAGCTGACAACATTGCAGCAGAAGATGATTGGACTATCAGCCCGAAAACATTAATTTTCATTTAATTTTGAGGTGGACAAT